TATATAATTATTTAATTATTATTTGTGAATTTCAACACTGGATGCTGCTATCGCATATACGGGAAGCAGCTTTACACAGTCTCACTTCGATTTAATGAGTGTCAGAAATTATACATTAGTGATCGGGGGCCGAATTCAAGTATAGATCATACGCACAAACGAGCATTTATGTGGTATTCACAAAGAATTTTATTTCCTCAGAATTATTTTTCTTTCGTGCATATGGTACACACACAAGTTAGCACACGTGCGCACAATAGCTGAGCTTTAAAACTGCATTTCATGCAGAGATACTGAAACAAACGCTAATAATAGTGTATTGCCAGTTTACTATGATAGAAAAATAATATAATTCGTGATATAAATCCCTCTTTATTTTCTATTGCTGTTAAATTATAGTTAGTGCTAAATTTTGGAGAGTGTAAGATCGAAATAATAGCGTGTAATAGTCGCTGCTACATTATTGAAATACATACATCGAAGCGTAGGATGGGAATTTCACGGCCAAACATTTACCAATCTTATTCAGTAAATGTTGTTCTGTATAAGTACTGTAATTATATTAATTCCACTCTACGTTAAATACGTTTTAGAGTATTATAATACAATTAATAATGCGTTTTACGGTTACACACAACATATAATGTGCGCATATGAATTATTTCTCCCGATAGATGGCGCGAAGATGTCATATTTGATCACCTGCCTCAAAGTCGCTGCTACATGAAACGCTTCAAGTGCCTGATATGTGGGCATGTCCCACTGATCTCTATAATATAATATAATATAATCTATATATATATATCTCTATAATATAATATAATATAATATATATTATATTATAGAGATCAGTGGCATGTCCAAAGACTAGTATGGGCGCCGGAAGAGGGCGCGGCGGCGGATTTAATTTGGCGGGAAGTGTGATTGAATGCGGAGTGTGTAACAGTGTAAGTGTGAAAACAAAATTGTTTGCATGGTTAATAATATGTATTTGTTTTGTGATACACTGTACATATATATGATGTAGTTATGCTAAACTGAGTAATTATAGTATTAGACTTAGACATAGTTAGCCTTAACCTTAGAGTGAGTCGATCCTTACAGTTACTGAGTTAGTGTTACTGTTATCACAGACACGTCACCGTCACCGTCACTATAAACCGACCAGGCTCTCCGACTGGTTACACGGCGGAGGACGTGCCACACGTAGCCTCTCGCTACGTAGTGTTAAGCGAGTTGGGAACTTGTGGCTACCGTCACTATAGACATAGTATTAGTAGGCCCTATATAGGTAGTCCGAGATTCCTCTGACCAATGGCATGCCCACACCGACGATTTTGGTGGTTTTGGTGTGGGTTTAGCACACCTAACCCACACCAAAACCACCAAAATCGTCTGTGTGGGCATTGGTCAGAGGAATCTCGGACTATAGTATATAGGTAGCCACAAGTTCCCTTCTCGCTTAACACTACGTTGGCGAGAGAGTCCTACTCCTAGTACGACGTGTAACAGTCGGAGAGCCTGGTCGGTTTATAGTATAGCTAGGTATCTATAGCATAGGTACCGACCAGGCTCTCCGACTGTTACACGTCGTAGGAGTACCTCTCGCCAACGTAGTGTTGCGAAGGGAACTTGTGGCTAGTCTCCTAGCTGCGTTGGGCTGTAAGTCACTAAGTCAGCAAGTGTAATGATGTACGTAGTCATTAGTGAATTAGTCTAGCTGTGTACAGATCATCAGATGACATAAATGTCACTGAATGCAACCGAGTTTTCGACATTTGGCTGCAACTCGGTCGAACACAAGTTGCTGCTCCATTGCATAGTGCATAATCGACAAGCGTTTGCTTGATATACAGGCACCTAATACCAATTGCTACTAAAACATTCCCAGGTTCCGTGAGTATAGAGCATGTAAAATACTTTATTGTATGCATTTGATCACTTGTCGCTTGTGAAATTTTGCCATACGTACGACGTACGACGTGATGCTTCATAGAATCTGTTGTAAGTTATTAAGTTGAGATGTGCCTATACTCGGGCACCCTTCATAAACCAGCCAATAGCTTCAGTTGCATCCAGCTGTGCACCCGACATGATTAGCTTCAGTACAAATAAGTCTGTTAACATTATATATACTTTATTTGCAACAGGAAATGGACAATTCTGCAAAAGATAACACGGAAATCTATAATGACCTCCCAGACTGCCCAGCTGATCTTCGTGTCGAGTTCCCTTTTCCTTTCAAACCATATGACATACAAGTAGATTTTATGCGCAACTTGTACAAGACATTAGAACTTGGCAAGATAGGAATTTTTGAAAGTCCAACAGGCACTGTAAGTGACGTCAATAAGGTCATTTGTATTAGTTACAGCACCTAGCTGTACTCGTAGTTTTCTATATAGAAATAATGTAAAGTAACATTAAAGGTAACCAATACTTTTCATTTTGAGAGTATATATACCATGGAACCTATTGCATAGAAATCTATATGACTATACATATTTCTGTTACTTGAACTTCAATTTTTTAATAAACTTGACATGTTTTAGGGAAAGTCGTTAAGTTTGATATGTGCTTCACTCGCTTGGCTGAGAGACCATGAGGAGAAGAAAGCCACACATCTGCAGGAGCTATTGGACGTGGAATCAGCGACTACACTCAGCAGTTCTAATGGTGATGTGAAAGCAGATACTGCTGATGGTTGGTATAGTTGATCATTGGAGTGGGCGTGCAATGCGTGCTTATGTACGTGCGTGTGTGGGTGTGCGTATGTAATTTTTTTACTAACTCCGGCTTCAAACTATAGGCTATTTTGCCTCGTTCTCGTTTGGTAGAAGAGATTGAGTATTCTTACTCCACTCATGTTATTTACTCCTGGTTTCTATTGTGTGGTTATAGTTATAATGCTTTCCGTATACTGATCTTTATGTTACCCTTACAATTGGTTATTGTTTAAGGATATACTCTCGACCTTTTGCACGGGTATTGCTCTAATGAAGATTAAACGTTTATTGATGAATGAATCGAATCAATCACACGTTTTATTTATAGAGGAGATATATCTCTATGCTCAAGCCAAAAAATTTAATGAAATTTCCAGCACCTAATTATGTTACCACACAAATTTAGAATTTTTATGTAAAAACGGTATTTTGGATATTTCTCAATTACCACAAAGAGTGAGGAAGCAAATTTTTGCCACACGTTAAGCACAATTAATATGTACCAAAATAGCACATCAGGATTTTTCTTTATGTTTCATATTTACTGAGAAAAATGAAAAAAACTGCTTAAAAATCAAGTTGTGTGTTAGAATTGCAAATTTTAGCGAATAAAGAGGCATAACTAATAAAATACGGCACTTAATAACAATCCTTGACTCGCTTTTTTACAGCAATATGTTAACATTAAAACGAGTGTAAAATTAAATTCATCTGAGTTGTAATCACAGAGAAATGTTCATTTATACATCGGCTACTATGTCAGAAATCGAAACTGAGAAATCAGCGTTTTTCTATTTTTTACAATGATCGACCGCCTGTGTGCAAAATGTGTGAACGTATGTGGAACGTCTACTGTTAGTACAGTACTTACTGTGACATAGTCCTGACTAACTGACACCACTAAATTGGTAATATGTTCCATGCACATTAAGAAATTGTGAGAAATTACGAGGTTACCTCCGCACTTTCATACAAAACACGCGTACGATGTGTACTGCATGCCGTTACTAAGCTATGTGTCAACAAACGCGTGCCTGAATGCAGGGTGTGTAACAAGGGAAATAGCGCTATTTTCGGTCGCACGGCAATTTCAACTATCACTAGCAGGTGACAGCTGTAGGAGGGTTGATGCTGAATGATACTGGCTTAGTGAATATCATGAAAATTCTGGTTGTATCATGTCTCTGAATGTATCACTCACTACACGTGTACGCGGGCAATTAAAGTGCTCTGAAAGGTTCACATGTACCGTTATATGGAGAAATGAGCATATACAGAGGTGGCACAAAGTGTTAGCCATCGAATAAAGTTGAAAATGAAAAATCGGTAACATTTTGCCTAAAACCTTGAGAGTAACCTTAATATCGCCATGGTTAACTAAAAACAAATTCAAGCAGGAATCCATAATATGGTGCTATTCTATAACAATATATGATTTTGTTTTCAGAGCCAGACTGGCTAAGAGACTTTGAAACTAATAACGAGCAGAATGAGAAAATCAGAAAACTCAAGGTCAGAATTGTAATAACAGATTACCATTACAATTTAAGTCCTATATGTTTGGTTGCTTTATATGTGATATCTACGTGATATCTATATATATATAAATATAATAATCCATTTTGCTTGGTTATTTTAACGTTTACAGGAGGAGCTGGAAAAGAAAACCAGGAGACAGGAGCGGATGAAACGCCTCAAAGAGTCTAACTATCGTCGCAAGAAGGTTTGTACACTAATCATACATTGTATCAAGAGCGTATTAAGAAGGAGAGCGTACAACGGTGAAATGCTGAAACCATGCTGCAGTATTAGTCGAATTAATAAACTTTGCCCGTTTTATTTTGACGATTCTTTGTGGTATTATTGATCAGCTGTCCTACCTTGCTAATATAAAACAAACCGATTGTCCCTACGATGCCGAAAACCAACTCGAGATACGTAGTGGCTGCGACTGTCACTCGTTCTGGCGATAGCTTCAGGAAACCTCGCGTGTTTCCGTCATTCATTGACAATGAAATTTATTTTCCTTCTACTATCTTTTCTCGCATTTCCAGTCATTGACGCAGCCATTACTCCACAAAAACGTCTTGTTATTTATCGCCATGGTGATAACCCGCCCCTTGCGCTGGATGTAGTAACGCTGTAGTAATAACGTATCGAGTCAGCGCTACACAGCGGCGACCGGAAGCAACATACAGTACACAAAACGAGAGACAGTCGCAGTAAAACTGATCTCGAGTCGGTTTTCGGCGAAAATACCAGATTTTCACTGCTCATTATCTCAGCGTAGAGGCATCGTAGGGACATGCGTTTTGTTTTATATTAACAAGGTAGGACATCTGGTCAATAATACTGCAAAGAATCGTCAAAATAAAACGGGGAAAGTTTATTAATTCGCCTAGTTCTGCAACATGGTTTCATCATTTTACCGTTGTACGCTCTCCTTCTTTATACGCTCTTGATTGTATGTGTGTATGTTTTAATCAGCTGATAGCAGGGAATTTGTCTCCTCCCCCAACCCATAAATTCATGCGTGTGTGTGTATGCATGTAATTCTTGGTCTCAAGTATTTGTCTATATCATATGGAGCACGCAATTCTGAATATCTGCAATCGTGTATGACAGGTACGAAGTTCCACAGATGTAGAATTCGACAAGCTGTTTAAAGAAGCCCCTGAAAAGGTGAAGCATGCCGGGTCAGCTTCAGACATGTATGACAGCACTGATCACGAAGATGACAGTGATTTTGTCCTTGGCGACTACCAAAGCGATGAAGAAATTACATCAAGAGGCTGCGACAGTTCCGACGAGGAAGAGGAAGAGCATGTGACAAAAGTAAGACTGAGTACAGCCTCCGGTTTTGCAACGGGAACATGGTGTGCGTTTGTCGTACTTATGGTGGTAGCAGCAAGTGAGTGACTGTAACTCTCACCTCTAAGCATGCTGATAGAGTGTTCCATTACCATCACACGTGGGGTGCTAGGTCTAACTCAATGCTGAACTGGGTCAGTAACGTGCCTCTTGGATGTATTGCATGATGATGATTTGCAGGTTTGCACAAGTATAGTGTAAAATTAACTGCTGTTAGTTTGTGTATTGCAGCGTATACTGCTATGAGATATAACTGATACGTGGGGCCTCATAACGTCAAGAAACACAATAGAAATTTGGTCACACTTATGCTTGTATTGAGCCTTAAACAGTTTTTGTTGTTTCTGCAACTTTGTTGTTGTTTGAGTCATTTCAGACGTTTACATGACTCACTATAAAATTCAATTCAAGTTGTTAACAGATGCCTCTCTGCACAGATCTACTACTGCAGTCGGACTCATTCACAGCTGTCACAGTTCGTACGTGAAGTACAGAAAAGCCCTTATGGGGATGATACAGCTATGGTCACACTGGGCTCTCGACAGGTGCGTCCACCATGACTAGCAGATGTATTCGGAACGTAAACTAACGTTAATATTTTAGCACAGGAGGCATCCGTATGTTTGACAGAATGGCCCGTGAAAAGTCGTTTTATAAATGTGTACAATACATATACATATATGATCGTTTTTACGTAATCTTTAAATGCTCGTTTGTTCGGTACAAATCTGTTTGCATTTTCAATCTCTCCGCGCATTTTTCTCCCTGCTGCAGAATCTGTGTGTGAATGAGTCTGTGCGAAGGCTGGCATCTCTGAGCCTTATGAATGAACGATGCCGAGAGCTGCAGAAAGCAAAGGTGTCAGGTAAGCGGACGGCAGGGTTCTCCAAGCCTTTTCATTATAGCATGGCGGGGCTGCCTTTACGGTCCTAGTTTTACCATTTTTTAGCATGGCGGCTATGATATTTAGAGTGGCGGGTGCATTTTAGGATGGCGGGGCTCGACGATAGCCTGGCGGGCCGCCAGGCTATAAGTGCTCTTGGAGAACCGTGGACGGGGTATAGCTACATTTCTATATATCTGAGAATTACTAATGATGTGATAGAATACATCGTGCTTGCCATGGACGTGACTGCGGATGGGGTTAAATTGTTTATGCTGTCTCGCTTTTATAGCAGACTCGAAAGAAGAAGAGGACGGTGTCGTGGTAAAGAAGAGAAAAGTGAAAGCTGGCAGTTGTCCGTTCTACAAGTACTCACCCCTGCAGAACTATAAGGACATCGTCCATGTGAGTGATATACCTATATAAATATATACATACATTTATTTATTTATTTGTTTATATATTTATAAATAGTCAATAACAGCATGGGTGAATTTATATTATGGATATACATTTCCAAATAATACATAGAATATAAAGTTAATGCCTTGTAGAAGGGACCTACATCATGATCAACAAATGTTCACCTACTCCATGATTTTTTGTCATTTTCTTTTGCTAGGCAGAAGTTAAGGACATTGAGCAGTTGGTGGACATGGGCAAGAAGATGAAGGCGTGTCCATACTTTGGAACCCGGTACGCAATTCCTGGAGCTCAGGTATCCACCAAGTGTTACAAACGCTAACTTAGGAAGTTAGTTTTGTTTTCGTACAGACTTGCAGTATAGCAACCCTTACTATAAAATATCTTTATATTTCCATTTACTTCACGATGCTACTACTGCACAACGATTTTGTGATTTCGCGCATGCAATGTTATATCGCTGTTGTAACCACGCTTTGCTGTATTTTACAAATTACGTTCGATCTCTTGTGCAGTTGGTGGCGCTACCGTACAACACACTTCTGCACAGGCAGACGCGTGAGGCATGTGGAATCAAGCTGGAAGGCAACGTTGTCATCATCGATGAAGCTCACAACCTTCTCGAGACGATCAGTAATATACACAGTATGGAAGTCACTGGTGCCCAGGTGACTATCTAGGACTGTCTGTACATAATACTGATAAGTCCAGACATTTACTGCAAATATATCCTTCCTTGTTTACCTACAAGAATGATTAGGTTTCAGTGTGGTGAAGTTGGTTAAAAACTATGGACTAGGGGAGCAGGGGTTGATGGGTGGAAATTCATGGTAGGTGAGAATTCTCGTATTCCAGTATTCCGATAAACTACTTTGAATTGGCAGAAGTGCGTGATTGTGATTTTCCGGCCAACAGGTGTCAGGTGCGCACTCGCAGCTCAGCCAGTATCTGCATCGCTACCAGAAACGCCTGCTCGCCAAAAACCTTCTCTACGTCCGTCAGATACTCCACGTGCTACAGAGCTGCATCAAGTACCTGGGTGGACGACCTGGGTGCGACCCCACCGTCACATCGTCCGGCGAGGAAGGTAGTGTTCTGTCAGACCGAGCGCCATGTTGAGTTATACCGTGTGCTCCGCTATGCAGTGACTTCGCCACTTTAGTTTGCAACGGATTGTTTATTTGATTGAGAAAGGGTTATAGTTAAAGAAGAATGTTAACATGTAAGCATTGTACTGGTGTCGCCCATTCTGAGTATATGGTTCTGTATGTATATATATATGTTATATTACATTATTATTTCTGTATATTAATTCTTTCTGTGTGTACCTCCTGGCATGTGTACGCAGATACAAGTCTGGTTACGCTGAACGAGTTTCTGTTCGGATGTGGTATCGACAACATGAACCTCTTCAAGCTGGTCAGGTACTGTGAGAAGAGTATGATTAGCAGGAAGCTGCATGGCTTCGTAGAGAAGTACCAGCCTCCCGTCGTTCTGCAGAGTAAGTCTTAGGCGCGTGTGTCCAGTCGAAGACATTTTCCTAATTACTATAAGACATAAGCGTTTGGTGACGTGAATGGTTGTTATCTGAGACGTGAATGGTTGTTATCTGAGATGTGAATGGTTGTTATCTGAGACGGTGAAAATGGTTGTTTATCGTGAGATGTGAATGGTTGTTATCTGAGACGTGAATGGTTGTTATCTGAGACGTGAATGGTTGTTATCTGAGACGTGAATGGTTGTTATCTGAGACGTGAATGGTTGTTATCTGAGACGTGAATGTTTACATTCCGATGTGATATAACATATTATAAAATAAGGCCCGACTATTTGGTGCAATTTTAGTATTGCGATAGTATAGTAATAGTTGTGATGCTATTGCAAACATTGTAATGAATCAATAGTTTGCTTAATATGCTACTATACTACACTCCTATGTGATATGGATTAATTTCACAGGTAGAGAGAATACAGACAACCAGCTGTCGTCCGTCGGAACGTTTCTGCAGAAACTCGCGAAAAAGAAAGATCCAGAAGAACGGGTGAATAACGTTGTGCCTAGTAACGGGGAGACAGAGACCGTCAGGTTATCCTCACCACTGGCGCATATTGAAGGTTTCCTGCAGGCTCTGACTAACTGCAACAAGGACGGCCGTATCATTGTCACACGACAAGAAACAGTAGCCAAGTATGTTTACCTGCAGTCAAGCGCTGGCGATCCATTGTTTCGTAATCTGTAGCAGTGCGCACACTCAGTTGTGCGGTTGTGTTGATGTTATACATGTGGAATAGAGGAACACTCCTGATCAGCTAAAAACTTACCAAGTTAGAAGAAAGGTTACAAGGGCATTGTGTAAAATGGAAAATAATATGAATGTAGCGACCATGAGGCAGTGTGGCATAGCGGATGTAGAACTCATAAAAAGAAGAAGAAAGTATGAAAGGAATATAGTTCCAAATTTTAATCCAAATATAAATGGATGGATTTTGCGTCAAATCACATAGGCTGTAATGTATTTTGTGTTACAGTTCCACACATTCATAGATCAACAGATCATTTGTGCATTCATTCGTACGTTGATATGTGTTTGTTGTTGTTTGTTGTTGTTTAGTACATCTTGTTCTCTCCGGCAGGTCGGGTCTGAAGTTTCTCCTTCTGAATCCAGCCGTGCACTTTAGCGACATCGTGCGTCAGTGCCGCGCCGTCGTCCTTGCTGGCGGAACTATGCAGCCGACAGCTGAGTTCAAGGAGCAGTTGTTCCTTGCGACCGGTGTTCCTGTCAGTCGCCTGCTGGAGTTCTCCTGTGGGCACGTGATCCCGGATGGCCAGCTGCTGCCTCTTACTCTGGCCAAGGGTCCGTCCGGTGCTGACCTTGATTTTACTTTCAAATCACGCAGCACCCCACAGATGGTATGATTTCTCTCGGTCTACGGTCGGATGGCAGCAGTAGCAGTAGCAGATGCAGCAGTAGCAGCAGTATTAGTAGCAGTAGTAGTTGTAGTAGTTGCAGCAGCAGCAGCAGTAGTAGTAGTAGTAGTAGTAGCAGCAGCAGCAGTAACTATAGTAGCAGCAGTAGTAGCAGCAGTAGTAGCAGCAGCAGTAGCAGCAGGATGATACATTTATATTTACAAGCGTTGAGACAATATAGAACGATGCTTATGTCTGCAGATCGATGAGCTTGGGCGTCTGCTGATGAACGTGTGCAACGTCGTTCCTCGTGGAATCGTCTGCTTCTTCCCATCTTACAACTATGAGAAACTTGCCTTCACTCAGTGGGAGGCGTCTGGCCTGCTGGCTCGCATCAATGCCAAGAAGGAGGTGAGTCGGTCTAAGTTGATGCTTACCACAGAGTTTAACGATCACCGGCCTGAAAGACAAAGAAAAGTGAAAGATACTAGAGAACAAAAGTTGGCATAACCAACTTTGTTGGGCATGTTTTAATTTGCTTCGTCTGATTCTGATTAATCGAAATAAACCCCCAGATAATGTATCATCTGGAAAAATACTTGTTTCATTCTTTAATAGTGTGATTTATTGGGCAGTGTACATGATTCCCTTAAAAGACGTAAACACTGGTTGGAAATGTGTGTCAGTAAATGTTGTTGGTCTGTGGAAACTTTAATGGCACTACTGTTAATATCCAGGTGTATCGAGAGCCGAAGAAGGCAAACCAGGTTGATCGAGTGTTGGCAGATTATGGAACTCGGATCAAGGTGAGAATCACTGCATATCAGTGTTAGAGGGCTGTGCTGTGATCACGACCCCTGAATCCCGGTCACAAAGCTTCCTCAAAATTCCAATCACAACCACAGCATCCCTGTCACAACCACAGCATCCCTGTCACAACCACAGCATCCCTGTCACACCCTTAGCATCCCTGTCACACCCTTAGCATCCCTGTCACACCCTTAGCATCTGAGTAAGAAGACAAATGTCTTGAGCCTTACCTCTTCATCTTCTTGCAGGAGAGCGAGAAGTTTGGTAGTGTGCGGACAGGTGCCATCCTGTTCTGTGTCGTAGGCGGCAAGATGAGCGAGGGAATCAACTTCTCCGATGATCTCGGCAGGTAATGCAAACACTGGCAATCACTCCCTTAGTGTCAATGTATTCCCCTTTCAATCCCTAATCAATCAATCCCTTAGTATCAATGTATTCCTCTATCAATCCCCTAGTATCAATGTATTTCCCTATCAATCCCTAATCAATCGATGCCCTAGTATTCGATGTCAGGTTGCTGCAAATAATAAATCTTTTCAGGTCAGTCTCAGCTCGGCTTACATACGAACATGTCCTCCATAGCTTTCAGTAGCCATAGCCATAGACCGTGTCATGTGTGCATTTCACGCCATAAATGTTTTTCTAATTAAAATATTTTATTCAATTGCCAGGTGCATTGTGATGGTTGGTCTACCTTTCCCTAACATGTTCTCAGCTGAGCTCAAGGAAAAGATGGACTACCTGAACAAGAATGTGGTGAGACTCTATTCGCAAAAACCTTTTCAAAAATGGTCTGGATCGTTGCATGCCATATATATGTGCTAAGCAAACTTTGTTTAGGGTAACATAAATGGTGTTCACTTACCTATGTTTGATTGTCAAAGGATATGGAATGTCGATTTACTACATGGGACTGTTCATTCGCTCTGGCAGAGATTCTGGAACTGTCTACACATATCTATCTATCTCAACCAAAATGGAAATTGTATTGGTGGGATATATTTTGGATTCAATTATCAATATTTGTACTTCAGAATATGGAATTTAGGTGTTATCAGTAATGATTGTGGCTATTCATTTTTTCCCACCTACATTAGACTGGTACTGTTTTTTTTATTAAGATAAGAATATTATATTTATATTTTAGATATATTTATATGTATATTATGTGTTTATAATATTATATTTTATTATGTTTTATAAGAAGTTCAGTATCTGAGAATGATAACAGCATTATTGCTATGGTTAGTGTATTCTTTCCTCTTGTTGATCCTCCAGGCGACCGGCCCTGGTAAGCGACAGCCTGGGCAGATATACTATGAGAACCTGTGCATGAAAGCTGTCAACCAGTCAATAGGTGAGGCATTCTTTCAATATCTTTCTAAATTATAGCCATCGATCTTTAACCATGCATTGGCACATAAGAGTTAAGGATGAAAACCTGGCATTATTTTGGACATTCATTGACAAAATTTTGTTTTGCAGGACGGGCGATTCGTCACCGTGACGACTCGGCCGCCATCTTGCTGCTGGACCAGCGCTATGCGCGTGCGTCGGTCGTTGCTGCGTTGCCGGGATGGATCGCTGAACACGTGAAGTGTCATTCCCACTTTGCCTCTGCCTTCTCATCACTGCGTAAGGTGAGCGAGTGTGCATGCCACCACGCTGGGCTTGCAGATTGTTAATCTATTTGTTTGGTTCCTGTGTCGTGATGAATACATCCGATTCAATTCCAGACCATTTCAGTTAAGGGTATTCACTCGGTGGTAGGCGTCTTGCTTGCCATTTTAATTTTTTTAATTTACATTTTGATGTCACAGTTGATGTTTTTGCGAAAAGGTCGTCAATACCAGTCAACCAATACACTCATTTCATCATATTTGAATCTTAGATCTTCACGTATTGGGTGCATTAAAACTACTTCTCTTGCTGTTAAATATGTGTTCATACAAGCGTTTTGTGATCGCTGGGTGGTGGAAGTTATGCACGATATTCTTGCATGATGATCTTTTTTCTTTTTCTTTAGTTTTTTACCACGTCGAAACATGGAAATAATTAACGCAAGCTGGTTGAGTATCAGAATCAACATCACCAGTGTGCAAAAGCAGGTGGCCAGTTTTTCCAATGGTAGGAGTAATGTAAAGTAATTGAG